GAAATTGCTAAAATGTATAAACTTTTATTGAAATTTGAAATGGAAGAAGAACAAGTGAAAGAATGCATGATAAAGTGAGCTAAATTTTTTGGTTATAATATACAGATGGAACAATGGGAAAATATGTGGTTGAAAGGACTGAAATTTATGTTATAATCTTAAAGATACGTTTTATAACATGATGTACCATTGGCTACGTCACCAGAAAAATTGTCTAGAATGTATAAAGGAACTTCAAATTTGCGTTGAAAATGTGAATAACAAGAAGGGACATTTTATCATGTTTGGTGGATATGTAAAAAACTAGAAAATTTTGGATTCAAATACATACACTGATTCAGAGGATCTTAAAGATTAATATACAATTGAGAACAGAGTTTTTTTTTTCTTTTGGGACTGATGGACAAGCAGCTGAAAAAAAGTCATGGAATTTTGTTTTTGTACATGCTAATGGCCGTGAATTTATTATATGCACAAAGATGGAAAGATTTGGTACTACCCACAATGGAGGAATGGTTGGTGAAAATGATGGAACTTGCTGAGATGGCCAAATTGACTGCTTTGATTAGAGAAAAGACAATATCTACATTTATTGCTGCCTGGAAACCCCTTATAGACTTTTTGCATGAAACAGAAAAAAATGAATTTATGATTTATGGTTTTGATGATTAGGTAGAATGGATTATAGAAAGAAGAGAGGTATATTGTAACCATAGAGTAAGAGGTAAACTTATAATTGTATTTAGAACTGCTGCAAAGAAAATCGGAAGCTACTTCGTCTCTTTTTTCTTTCTTTTCTATTTTTCTTTTACTTTTTTCCTTTCTTTTACTTTTAACTTTTCTTTCAATCCCTTTCTCTTTCTTTCTTTTTTCCTACTATATATTAGTTTGTATTAATTTTTTTTCTTTTTAAATATCTTTAAAAATACAATTATATTTTAGAAAGAATAAAAACAATACATTTTGAAAGAGAAAAGAAAAAGTAATAAGTGAAAAAAGTGCAAAAAAAGAAAAGAAAAAATGCTATAAACAAGCAGCTTCTGATCTTCCTAACAGCAATTACATTTATATTTTATCCTCTCTATAGTTACAACATAATTTCCTTCTTTCTATAATCTACCCTTTCTAACCATCAAACTCATAAATCACAAGTTCATTTTTTTCTTTTTTCAGCAAAAAATCCCTAAGGGGTTTCCAGTCACTAATAAATGTAGTTATTGACCTTTCTCTAATCAAACAAGTTAATTTTGCCACGTCTGCTAATTCTGTCATCTTTACCAGCCATTCCTCCATTGTGGGTATTTCAGAGTCTTTCCGTTTTTGTGAATATAATAATCTTGCATCAGTTATATATAAAAAACAATCTTCCATAATCTTTTCTAATTGTCTCTCCATTAGTTCCAACAAGAAAAGTTCTGGTTTCAACTGAATATTAATCTTTAAAATTCTTTCTATCACTGTATGTATTTGAACCCAAAATTTTCTGGTTTTTTTGCAAGTCCACCAGGCATAATAAAAAGACCCTACATGTTTTCCACATTTCTAACATATATTTGAAGTACTTTACATCATGGGTAGGAAACACCCCAGGTGATATGTGGCTCCCAACCCCTTTTTTTTTCAGCCCCGAGAAACTCCACTGACTGAACCATAGACATTCAGAAGCAAATCATCAAATTGAAGAGAAGTATTTTCCAGTCATTTTTAAAGACAAGGGAAAGGATAATGATGCATAAGCCTTCCGAAATGCTTCACACACTTCAGATGGTTTTAAAAATCAATATCCATCCTCCTAAAACATAAAATAAACACTGCTGTGATGCCACTCAGCACTCACAGAATGAGCGCTGACCCCTGCAGGAATTATACATCTCAGTGTCTCTTAGAAGTGGCCTTTAGCATGTAGAGAAAGACACAGCTGGCACCACATAGGCGGGAAGAGATTCCTCCCAACCAATTCAGGGGAGCAAAAGTTGGGGTGGTGTTTAAATCCAAGCTTTAGAAAGCACCAGGGAGTAGAACTCCAGAGGAAACAGAAGGAAGAGCATCTTGGATCTATAGAGAAGGAAGGGATCCAGGAATAATTCAGATTGCTGGGCGTCTGTTTCAGGCAGTAATTATCTTACTAGTAATAAGTCGATTGCACTAAGGCTATTCTTTTTATTTGCTGTGTGTTTTAAATCTGTTGTGGTCTCTGATAACTATTGTCTCTATATGTTAGCTCACCTTTTCCTTGTGATCTGCCCAGCATTTTATCTTTTTTTGAATTTCTCTGGGGGAGATTTTTTATAAAATGCTGTTTGTAATTTTAACAGTCCTCAATATTTTTATTTCATTCCCCCCCCCCCTTTTTTGCCTCAAATTAAAAAGGAATTTAACATTTTTCCTTTTTAAAAAAAATATATTTTAAATTATAAATTGTGCTTTTGATCCAATTCCCCAAAGAGGGAGGGCATTTTCCTTAGTTATGACCTTCCAAAGATGCAAGGGCCAAGAGATCTCGGGGCAGATGGGGATTGCACTTATTTCCTAAAATATACAAAATGATGCACAGCTTTCCTCTTCTTTCCCCTGTCTTCCATCCTGATATGTTTACAGCAGCATCAAGGGCTTTGAAGAGTAGGGGACAATCCGAGTCTGAAGAGATGAACACATATATATGCATATATGCATCAGACAGCCTAAGTGTAAATTCTTTACATCTGTCAAGCAAGTTCCCTCTTCAAACCATCTCCTCCAACTTAGATATGGACACCTGGGCTGGTAGGTTGGGACAAGAAATGAGGAACAGCAAGTTCACTTGGTTTATGGCATGACATTTTGGCTGTAAAAAAATTATTTCTTAGACATGACTGAAATTTTGCAAATGGCAAGACTTTTGATTGATTATCCCCTCTCTCTGAAAGAAGAGAGCAAGAAAACAGACCATGACAATATTCAACTCAGGTTTAGCAGTAGCAAGTCCTGCCAATCTTGTAGAAGATCCAGATGTATGGAATTTCCAGGTATTGTTATTATATCAATATAGTCTTACATCACTAACTACAATGTAAAAAATTAGCACTTAGCATTCCAGAGAGCATATGTCATCCCAGCCAAGTGATCAAAACACTCTTAGTAACATATCTTGTCAGACCAACTGAAACAGTCCAGATACTGTATATCATCCAGATGCATCTACAGATGGTGGCCAAGCAATTCCAAATGCATCTGGTAGATCCATCTCAATCAGGCTTTCAGCTTGAATATGACATCCTTGAGCATCTGGCAGGATTGCATTATGACCTCCATTATCTTGTAATTTTTTCTGCTTGTACAAAGGGCATTCAAAGGAAATAGAAAGCAAGCTTGACTTTTTTAGCATTTTTATTTAATTTCAATGTAATATAAATACAAAATAATGGTAAAATATTACAGATTTGGAATTCAGAATTACAGATGCCCCCTGATCTTCAAATCACGTCCCTCTTAGGAACACCATCTTTTAAATTTACAAAATCATTCAAAAATGTCCATTTGCCTATTGTAGGCATG